CATCCCCCAGAAGCAATGTCCCTTCCCAGCCTCCCCCAGTCTCCACCCCCTCTGGCCCCCCACAGGCCGTATCTCCCTCCAGCCCCCTCCATACTCCAGCATCAGCCCCCCAAGCTCCTGGAGAGGCACCAGGCTGGGCTCTGCTGAATTCCCCTCCCTCCTGGGATGGGGACGGAGCTCTGCCTGGCTGCTCCCCACCTCCGTGCACGGTGCAACTCCCAGCCCCACGGGGGAGAGGATGCAGGGTGGATATGCTTGCAGGATGCTTCTCTCTCCATCACTGGACCCCTTACGACTTCCTTCCATCCCGCACAAGTCCCGGGATGGGAAGGAGGAGCAGAGTCAGACACGAGCACTACAGCCCACAGGAAAAGCAGCGCTGGAGCGGGGAGCTGTGTTTCCACACCCTGAAAGTGCGTGTGCGCTCACCGCGGTGTGAACCGGGTAAACCGAGGCACGCGGCGTGGTATTGACAGCGCTTTGCTTTGGTACTGGTGGGAGGTGGGTGAGGTGGGACCTGGACCGAGTGCCAGTGCGGTGCAGCGGTGCTGGAACCCGGTGGGGTGACTGCAGCTGGGCAGGGCTCTGGCAGCCACTCTGCAGCCTGGCTCGGGGTGCAGAGTGCCAGGACACCCTGCGTGCTGCATATCTGGGGTGCCTCAGAGGCCTGGCAAGCTCAGCACACCAGTAATAAAAGCGCTGGGTTGTTTCAGGCTTCCTTGGGCCACCCGTGCTATCCTGAGGGATGCAGCGATGTTTGAGAAGGCACCAGGCTTCAAGAGTTTCTTCCCTTGATTTCACCCCTCGCTCATGGCTCAAAACTGGCACGTCAGGTGCTGATCTCACATGTCAGCTCAGGGACGCTCCAGCCCCCGGTGGGAGAGCAGCAGCTCCCCTTGGCACAGACCCATCGCCCACGTCCCGTGCACACTGCTTGGGTCTCTCCCACACCCACAAACCCTGGCAGAGGGGTGGGTTTCTGGCAGTGGGACCTGCCCCATCCTGCTGCGGACATTGCCTCGTGAGCAGTGGGTTTGGGGTGCCGGCACCTCACACTGTGCAGCAAACACTGCAGCAACGAACCCTGCGCCAGGGATTTCTGCTGAGGAGCAGGGATAGGACGGGACGAAGCGGGAAGGGAAGCAGGACTGGCTGAATCCTGGCTGCTGGGGTGGGACGCAGGAAACGGCTGTTCGGGCCCTTGCGGGAAGGGAGGTGCCGGCAGTGCACTGGCCTGGGGGGACAAGAGTTGCCTCCCGGGGTGCCCTGGATGCGGTCACACAGCCCCAAGCTGGCACCCACGGGCTGGAGCCTGCTAACACCCTGCTTGGGGTAAAGCCTCCCCTGCTCCCCCCTTTCCAGGGCAGCAGCTGAGTCAAGAGCCCCATTGCAGGAGATTTCAGAGGGCTCCCTGAGCCTCCGTGGGCCGCATCCGGCCTCCCAGGGGGTACCTTCCAGCACTGGCATTTTATACACCATCCCAAATCCAAGTGCTTCCTTAATCCAGAGGGATCCAGGTCTTTTCATCTCTCCCTCCAGGCAGCTCTGCCCACATTTGCAGCTTCCCCTCTGCACATCTCCAGCCAACCCCTGGGGCAGGCTGGCCTCCCTGGTGCTGGTGCTGGAGCTGGTGCTGGTGCTTCCTTCCCCGGCTCAGCTGAGGGACCAGCCACCTTCTCCCTCCTCCTCCTTGGTGGCTGCAGCCCCATTCTTTGCTTGCAGGAGCTCACCGGGTGAGAGTGCCGAGGGAGGGGAAAACCCCACTCCCGAGGGGGTCAGGGCTGTCACCCCAATCCCAGGGAGCTACCCTGCACCCCAGGCTGTGAGAGTGGGGGGACCTCAGGGGGGACCAGGCTGTGGCCAGGCCAGGTCTGAGTATCATGGGGGAGGGAGATCCCACAGCCTCTCTGGGCTCCTGTAGCATTTTATCATGCTCACAGGGGAAAAAAGTTTCCTAGTATCTAGATGGAATTTCCCTTAATGCAACTTGCATCGGGTGCCTGTCCCCATTTTGCTGTACACTTCCCCAAAGAGCCTGGCTCCCTTTTCCTGTAACTCCATCTAAATAGCTGCAGGCAGCCAGGAGATCGCCCCAGAGCCTCCCCTTCCCCAGGCCGGGCAGGTTGTTGATGTTAAACCACACTTCCTCCCACCACCCCAGCTCGGTGATGAGAAAACCCCCGGCTGTGATGCTCTGCATCACCATGTACCAGAGCTGCAGGTGGAGGGGGGCTGCTCCCAGGCTCCATCCCTCTTGAAGAGGAGGTGCCCCAGCTCTGGAGGGACGTGGGCTATGGGGTCTGTCCATGCCCCCAGATCCAGCCCAAGAGTTCGCCCAGAGCCGGTGGGGAGCAGGAGCAGAGCCGGCATCTCTCGGCCCTTGCTGGTCCTCGCTGTGCCTCTGTGGGCGACCCTGGGGCAAGCCCCATGCAGGTCGTCCCGCCACCCCCAGGCAGGTCCCCCCGGGGCCTCCCCGCACCCCCAGGTGCCTCCACCCACGTGCTGCCTCCAGACGTTGACTCAGCTCTGCCCCGGGAGCTCCCAGCAGCCCCGAGCTGGGGCCTCCGTCAGAAAACCAGCAGTGCCCCGTGACGCCGCCCACGCCCTGGGGAGCCCTGGGGCCCTGGTGGAAACAGGCAGTTCCCCCGAGGGGCAGAAGCCTCCCTGCCAGCTCCCCAAGCATGTTTGTTGCCGGGCAGTGGGTTTGCACACATTTCCTGCGCAAAAGCTGGAAACCTGAGAACAAAGCAGACAGATCTGGGTTGTTTCCTCTCTCCCTACAGGCAGGTTTGCTCAGCTTTCCTGCAGAAAAAAAAGGGGTTAATTCCCCCCACGGGGGATGTGCTGTGAAGCATGGGGCTGTTTGGCTGGTAGTACTCATGCAAAACCCTCAGCATATTCAGGAGCAGATCAAGCTTCAGTGACCAGAGCCCTGAGCTGCCCCGGGGAAGCAGCGGTGGAGTACAGAGTGGGGAAACTGAGGCACAGAGCAAGGGACGTGCACAGAGTCACCCTGTGTGCGGTATGGAGCAGGGCAAGGGCAGCAGGATCTGCTTTTGAGGGGCTCTCACAATGCTGCTGCTCCAGGCTTGTGG